CTTGTTAAAATTATACAACGACGGAAGAATCGCTGAACGATGAGTGGCTTCCTCACATTTAGCTTCTACGTCTTTGAGAGGGTTTGAGATTCAGAGAAGATTTGGAGGATAAAGTCATAACGTCCACGAACTGAAAGGAGATAAAATGTGATAATTTGTCAGAAAGCAAAATAAAACTTTTTTTTTTTAACTTCATAGCTAATGCGTGGTAGTTAAGTAACTAGGAAAAGCAGACATTCATATTTTCCTTTCTATCTCATATGCTTTAAAATTTTCGTAAGTTCTAAGTTTCATAGCGGGCTTTGGGTCAACGGCCTCAACAGTTGAGACAGCTCTGGAAGGAGAGGTGGTTTGACGCAGCAGGACATGTGTTCTGGAAAATCATTGTGGAAAATCAATGTCTTTCCACTCATAAAATCCTTTGATTGCCTTGATGAGCTCATTTTAATCTTTTGCAATGCTTCATGGTATAATTACTAAATTGTGCAAATTAGTGCTATTTTTAATTATTTCTTCCTAAAGAGGTTTTGACGCCAGAGCATTCTTTTACCAGATTTGTGAATCTTAAGCAATTTCAGCCTGAGAAAGCAAAAGTGGAAACAGGGATGCGGGCAGTGTTGAAATATTTAAAAGGATGCTCTGGACCATTCCAAATCCATTATTTTTAGACTGGAGTTTTGAAAACACCACTCCATCATAGTTCATAATTAGAAAAGCTCTCCACAACTATGGGAGTTAGAGACCATCCACTGAGTTGAAAGTTAGGGAATAAATGCAGATCCCAGGGAACACAGTTCTGGATACAAATCACTCTGCAATGGTTAGCCTGGCCTGGACCCATCAAAATGGCACATGTGTCCCCAGTGGGCCTGTTTTCTCCAAGTTGTCAGCCTCTCAGTGGGATCACACCCACTTGGTCTTTCATGGTGCAATATCATCTCTTGGCTGCAAAGGTCATTGCTTTCAGGAACTGAGATTCTGTCCGGAGGGACCCTGGGGGATTATCAGCTGCCCTTGAATGCTTCCATCATTAGTAGAAAGTGGTCTGCTGCACTCCGTCAAAACTTCCATGGAAAAGTCCCTCATAAGGAAGCTCAAGCAGGGAGGAGGGAGGTGAGCAAGGTCATGATCCCCCCTCCAGGGTCTGGTTCCAGATGTGGGCATCTTAACTTCCTAGAGTGTGATTCTCCATCTGAAAACCTCTGAATTTCATCAACTAATACGGCAGCCCACAAAGCAGCATTTCATCAAAGCTCAAAGGAAGTGGTTGCTGACATAGAGAGGAGTGATAGTGCCACTCAGATGAACCTTCTAGAAAGAGGTGCTGCTCATTTGGAGCGGTGTGATCACCTGGCACATCCAGCTGTGGCCTCCTTCAGGATCCACCTCAGCTTTGAGCCAGTCATGTTCCTCTTTAAGTGGCCACCAGCCCATGACCTAGCAAGGCCATACAAAGGCCTGGCCATTCCCATCTAATTCAGGGCTCCTCAAATGGGTAAGTTTTGCTCCAGAGCCCCTTCCCTATTGGGGAGACAAGCACTTTGTCAGGTCTACAGCCTGATGGCTCCCCCTTCCCATCCTGCTCCCCCCCCGACTTAAATTTCACAGCGATTACCCCAATAGACCTCTTCCTTCCTAACTCCATCTCAGCACTACTTCCCAGACAGCCCAGCAGCTCAGAAGTTGTTATTAAACCCCTACACACATATGTACTGAATCCTGAAGAATATCTGGCTACAGAGGACAAAGGGAATCAAATTTGGATGAAGCTATAAACAAAAGGAATCACAGGGGGGAAAACGGGAGTTGGGACCATGATCTGGCTTACATTTAGAAGACAGAAAATAGAATCTCGTAGAATGGGAAGGCCATGCATATTGCAGCATTCACGGATCCTGTGAACCCTTCTCTGAGCCTCCTAAGACATGAACCAGCGTTGATTTCCCCATTGCAGAGCAATGCTCCCCTCCCCGCTGCTCCATTGCCCCATTCCCCATTGCTCTGCGCTACATCTTGAATTGAGTTTTTTAGGGCTCGATAATGAACTGTAAGGTCAGTCTGCAGGCCAAGCTGTGTGACCCTGGAATGCTTGTGTACTGGGTCCTTTTAAGACCTTTGTGGCCTCAGGAGACTTATACTGTGGAGGTCCCTCAGCAGAGCGTCACCGAAGAGATTAATTATACCACCAAAACTCAGAGTTGAGTTGATGAGTCATTACTGTACTTTTTTGTAGACTCTTAAATGTTTACTAGCTTTGATTTTGCAGTTTTCCTTTCATGTCTCAGAGCCCATATATCTTTTTTCCAGACTGCAATAATTTGGGGGGTAGGGGATGCATAGAAAGCGGATAGGCCCTTGGTGCTTCATCCACAGTGCACGATAGGCAAAGAGTCCTGGTCTTGGATGGCCCCTTTGCATGTCTGGCAGGAAAGTCTCTGACCCATTCTCGAGGCCAGCACTTCTGTTAGTGGACGCAGAGATGTTGCCCATACACGGCAAAGTGACAGCAAGTTTGTGTGAAGGAAAAGTCAGAACTTTCGCCCATGAGCTTAATGCCCTTGATTCTTCTGCAAAGCTGAAGCAGTCAGTAACTCTTTGGCTTCTGAATTAGATCTTTCAGGTCCCTGATCTAATCTCACAGCTGAGCAGGATCCCTGGGAGTGGCTCGCACTGGCCCTGGAGAAGTTGAAAACAGAGGTTGCCTAAGGATGGTGTGAGCCTGCCCCTGGAGCAGGAGCAGGAGCGGGGCAGGCCAGGGCAGAGGGCTGGGTTTTCGTAGAAGGAAACACCAGCTCCACTGGGCTGACCATTTCGAGTTTTATGAATGTGTCCAAGGTATTCTCTCTCCCTGCAGAGCCTGTCTCCACTTCTTCCCAACCCTCTCTGGGACCCGGGATGCGTCACAAACCGGACTCCAGAGCGTGAGCTTGGGTTGGGTTTGGCCGATGAGGAGCAAAGTGGGAAATCAGAGAGAGTGAGGGAAGGAGGAAGGTCAGGCATCATTCCCTCGGTCCCCTCCCTCTCCCCAATGAGGTCATCACCCACAAGCCATCCAAGTCCCTCAACCAAAGGTCCCTGCCCTTCTCAGGGTGGCTGAGTCTTCTCCCTGGCTACGCAAAGCATGCCCAATCTGAGAGGTCCTAGTAAACATGTAGAATTTTCGCTCCTACCCTTCCCATTGGCATAGGGTGGGCATCTTGACAAGCTCCTGGGTGCACATTTCAGAAGCTCCAGTTTCCAGTTACTCTCTCCCCCTCCTCCCGTCAGGCCTATGGAGGTACCAACCCAGCTGCTACTAGCTCCGATTACTCTTGGCTCCCTTGTGATTCTCCAGCACCCACGTCTTTGTAAATTGCCATTTTGCAAATGAACCTCGTGTGAATTATCCTATTGAGAGTACATCTGTTTTCTGTCGGACTTTGGACCAGCTGGTCTCCTCCACCTTCACCTCTGCTTCTACCCACTTTCTCACTACCCATCTTCTGTGGTTTATTTAATTAGTTTATTAGCCAGTTTGGGACACGTTGACTTTGAGGTGATAGAAGAGGGTTGAGATCAGAGGCTGACAGACCTGGACAGAGAAGCAGGCTTAGAGCTACGGCACCCAAGAGATGGACTTGAACTTGCGGAAGAAGGAGCCCATGGAGAGAGCAAGAGTCAAGAGAAAAGCCCAAGGATGGGAGAAGGATGAGGAACAAGAAGGGAGAAGAGACAAAAATGCATGATCAAGGAAGTGAACGGAGAATAGAAAAATATTAAAGATTTCTTAAAATTCAATTTGATGAGTGGTTGGACATCTACTGTAAGTGGACGGTGAAGACATCACACCAGTATGCGTGTAGATGGAGGCAGAATGTCTCCTGCAAATGTTCTCCCCAGCACTGGTTCCTGTACCCTCTGCTCTGCTGACCCTTCAACCTTGACCCTGTGCACCTCTGCCTGATGCTCTGTCTTAACACAGGATCCTCACCTTAGAGAGCAGCTTGTGTCCCCTTTGATCCCCAGAACGCTGCTCAGGCAGCCTGACCTCTACTCCTCGCCAGCAGTCCTCCTCGCCCCTTTGGTTGCCTGCTTCAGGCCTCCCAGGTCGCAAAGAGAATGAACTGAATTTCTTCTGCAGTGAAAAATGAAAAATGAAGCACCAGTCGGGCATTTTCTCTATTTAAGTCTAAACCAAATTAATTTGGGGAATGGCATTTGCAGTCTAATTCCTAATGGCCGTGCATGGATGGATACATCCTATTTTCCGATGAAATATTCTACCGTCTCTCTCACAAAAATGGCAAAACGAATGAGTGTGGAAGTGATGGATGTGGAGACGCTAAGTGTCAACAGAAGTAAATGCTCTCCCCGGTCCAAACCTTCTTTTAATTTGTAGGACTCTGCTTAATCTTTCCGTGCAGTCTCATTTGTAACATGCAGGAGTTGACAGAGATGATCTCACACTCAAAGGCTGCATGAGTTTCTATGATTTTATAAGGCAAGAATGGGACAAAACGGCTCCTTACAGAAGGAAAGTTCTTTTTGTTTGACCTCTTATTGTTGGCGTCTGTGTGTAAGGGAGGATGTCAGAGGCAGAACTCAGAAGGTGGGGCCTTTGAAACATGGACACACCCTGGTGGGGCCGGAGTCCCGGTTATTCCAAGGAGACCCGACAGCAATGACATCCTGTCCACCAGCATCCAGACTCTGACGTCCCTTTAAACACACCCAGCTGCCCCATGAGGTCCAGGGCCTGGCCCCCTAGGGTTGTTCATGACCTTCGTTTTGTTTTAATATTGATGTATTTTCCATTAAGAAAGCAGAGCAAAGTCATTTGTGGGCATTTTCAATATGTATATATTAAAAAAAGGAAGAAAGAAAGAAAAAGGAAGGAAATTATCTAAAAGGTCTAGCACCCAGAGCCAATTGTTGGCATTCTTATATATTTCCTACCATCTTGTATTAGATACATAGTTTTTTTAAATGCAATCACAGTCACACTGTGTGCACAGTCCCACCTCCCGTCTTGGTCCTGTCGCATCATAACAGGAGCATCCAGATCAGATGATGGAGCGGAGCTTTGTGCGCACAGATGGGGCGTGTGGGTGGCTCGATGCCAGCTTTAGCCTGCAAAGCAGAAGTTGTACCGAAACAACTGCTTTAAAATATAATAATAGAATAAAAGAATCAGGGGACTGGAAAACAGGAATGGAGAAAGTTATATTTTTGGAGCAAAGTGTCTGACAATCTCTCAGTGTGACTTTTTCTACAAAAATACAGAAGTGAGGAGTGGGTTTAGATCCAGAGACTGCTCACAGTTTCTGGGTGGCTGCTGGGCTCTGCGTCTCGCCTGGAGCATCATGCTCTTCCCCTCGGCTGCGTCCACCGCTGGCCCCGGGACCTGTTGGAGCCAAGATGATGCGTGTGGGAATCTGGAAGAACTGAGCTCACGGAGGGGCTCCCATGTCTTGACCCCTTTGGTCCTGGGATTTGCCCATACACCTTAGCCCCTGGGACGGGCCTTTGCCACAGTGCTGTGCAGGCACGGAGCCCCGGCCCTGCCCATGTCCATGTGTCCTGACCTTCTTCCCTGCACCTCTGACTCACATTCCAGGTTTGCCTGCTCTGTGCCCATCTCTGCATGACAGCCCAGTCTAATTATATTCCATGGCATTCCTGAGATGCAACAGAATCTGTTGTAACTTGAGGACCTTATTTATATCATAGGGACAGAAAAGAGCCAAATAGCTGTTCTCAGAGGAGGCACCTCAAAATGTCCTTGATAAACTGTTTGATGTGCCTCCATTGTCAAATCAGTGGTCTCAACAACCTCCAACGTCATTACGTTTCCATCACCTCCTCGCATATTCTTGGGAAAGAAAACGTAAGGATTTCATCAGAAAGAGCTGATTCATTTTGTGGTTTTGGCACAATTTCCCAAACTTTGTGTATTTAAACCATCCTTAGGAGCAAAGCACCTGTATGCCAAGTTGAATCTTCCTGGGGGTGCTCCTCACGCGTGGCTCTGACAAGCGCTAACAAGGCCAGCCTTTCATCTGCGACGTAACCTCAAGTCTTGGAAGGGGTGGGCATTTGGGAGAAGCAATCATCTTCCCCATCAAAGGAAGCTTCCTGAGGACTCCAGCCCCGTGGGAAGCGGTTTCACGGCAAGGACCCCCAGGGCTTTGCACTGACGCAGACAAAGGAGGTGGAGAGTGAAACCGCGGTGGGCTCCAGAGAGATGACGGGAGCTGGTCCTGATACAAATGGGATGGAGAGCTCCATCAGAGGGATACCCTCAGTGCTGCATGATTCCAGGGCGTCTTCACCCCCTGGGGCAGAATGAAGCCCAAGGAAAATAGAAAAAGAGACACACCAGAGACTTACTCTTCATTTCCTTGTGTCTACTCAAGTATCCATAAACAGGGAGATGCGAAAGAAGTTATCAAGCAGAGGTGCTGGAATTAAGAAAATGGAATTCTTTCTTGAGTCTAGCATCTAGCCCACAGGCAAGTAGTTTTGTGGGTGTAGACGGAAAGCAGCATGCCAAGGAGGACGTGAGGCCAGACAGAGCGGGGTTGGCCATGCTCAAAGCTTTGCTAATCTGGGGACAAGTCCCTGGAACTGTTAACCTTTCCTGAAACTTCCCTCTGCTCTTGCGGCCTCTCCGGGTTGCCTTGTGTATATTTGTGGTTGAGGAATAATCCAGAAGACTTTCCTCGAGGTTTTACAATGGCATTAGAGAGCTTCAGAAAAGAGCAGCCCGCTCTTGAGGAATTTGTAATTTTCTTTCATCGCACGATTATCAACAACGACCCCTTTGCCCATATTTCCAACAAAACGTTTGGAAGGACTCACATTTCTAAAATTCACTCTTCCACAAATCTTAATCACCGCAAAGAATTCCAAACTGTATATGCCTGAGACTTAAAAAAACAAAACAAGTCCCCTAAACACATTTGTTTTCTCTTGTCTCCATATAAAACCGCTAAAAGGCAACAGCTTTAGCTTTTTTGCAATTTTGCTCCAGTTTGACAATTTTGACTGAATTATGACTGGTATGACTCATCTTCTCTTTTGAAAACTTCATTAAAAATCTGGTTTGCTTAAATTTGAGTTGTAACTTGAACCGGTTGTTTCATTAAATTTAATTTATTTAGGTGGGGAGGGGAGATAAACTGTAATTTTATGATTAATTGCTTGAAATGGTTCAAGTTTATTTCCTTTCTCCTACATTGTTTTTTCTCACTTGAAGATCAAATCCATACTAGCATTTCAGAGGAAACAGGTCTATTCCTCTGCTTTATAGAGATCCTTATATGGGCCTGAGCTGGCTGACTTTGCAAGGTGAAAACAACCCAGGGTTGCACCTGTTAGGTGGATGGGCCAACCATAGGGTCAGCCAACAGGCGCCAGATAGCAACCTCCAAGTGGCAGAGAGAAACCCGGAGAAATGCTCTGTCCTTACTGCTGAGACCTTAGAGGAGAATCAACAGGTAAACATGAGGAGCCCGGCAGCTGTGCGAGCCCTCTGCCGTCCTGCTTTCTCCTGGAAGTTCTCCTGCAAATTCTCTTGCCCATTCAAAACAGGTCCGTGTTCTCAGACCTCTCTCCCAAGATGCATCCTGGGCAGAGTTTTCAGGAGCTCCTCTGGCTTTTACAGCCACGTGTCCTTCTTCCCCATCAGCCCCATTCTGGTTCACGTCTGATAAGAGACAATCCCATAAGCTGGTTTTCTGGAAAACATCAAACAACCCCAGCCAGGGGTGCTTTTCTGTTTGGCTGGGCAGAGGGGGCAAAAGTTCTGCAGCCCCTCCATGTGGAGTGCAAGGAGGGGAGCAAGGGGGTCCCCCAGAGGAGAGAGGAGCAGAGCGAACAAAGAGGTTCCATCAGGGCTCCTGGCCTGGATTAAACAGCTTGCGACTTGCACGCCCCACCTCCTGCCATTTCTCTGGTAACAGTGCTGCTGACTTTTCTATAAACTCCCGTGGGAGAGGGGACACAGGTCTCTCTTCACATCCTCTGAGTCCCTTCAATCGCAAATCCTGAACAAGGCAGGCTGAGCATCGCAAACTAAGGGCCTTCTTTCTCTCACTCCCCCTTCCCTGCCCCGTGTGCACCACCTTCTAGCTGGTTTTTGGTCCCCCTCTGCTTAGCTTCTCCCTCAAGTCCACCTGGTCCTCACCCAAGGTTCTGGATCCTGTCTGATAACACATCCCTGTATACAACCAGCCACGCCCACCCCCTAGAGACTGAGCGTACTGGCGGCTCTGGTGGAACTTCTTAGGAATCGTGACTCCATCCCAAGTTCTGTCAGACACCCCGGGCCAGGTGCATCCCATGGCCATATGGACACGAGCCAGAATTGTACTGAGAAGAGCAGACCTTGGGAGTGGATGCTGGTCCTGCTCTGTGCTGCACTGGGTACCCAGCACCCCCTCAGCTCCCATGTTCCCTAGCCCCCTTCTGCCAGGCCAGCTTGACACCCTCACCCCACCTAGAGGCTGTTTGCCCAAGCCATGAAAAAATTGTCACCTAATGCATCCAGACTAAAAATGTTATGAATTCAGCATGCGCTCCAAGTTGGAATTTTGATGCGGCCAACCCATGATTGCGCATTTTTACGTAATGGAGTCGAAAATAACCTATCAAAGTCATAGCCTATGAACCCTGGTTGTTAGCAGAATGGACCACAGGTATGGTCTTAGCTTACTGATGGCACCAGGATCCAGAAAACATCCCCATGCTGGTGAAACGGGATGGGGTCACAGTTTTTGTGGGAAACAAGAAAACGTGTCTCTAGTCCCTGCACGTGAGGCTCCCTTCGGAAGTTACCTGTGCAGAAATCCTAGTCTGTACCAGCTTCTTTTTTTACATTTTTGAGTTTCTTCCTGTACCTACTAATAATGGGGGGGTTTAGTACTTCTTTTTAGAAGTCTTGTTATTTACGACTGGACCTCTGCTGTGATGTTTACGCCGGTAAATCTCCCGGGCTTCTCATCTACGCTGCCAAATCCCTCCACCCCTGAATAATCCGAACCAAAAAGCTGCATCAGAAATTAATAACCATGATCATAAATCAAAGTGAAGGTTTTATCCTTTCATTTTGCATACGACATCATGAGTAAATGAGTACCCCAGCGCACACGGGACTTATCAGAAAGGCAGAAAAACCTTCCTTAATCAAAGGCATATTTCATCTCTGAAAAATTCATCAGAGTGTGTTGTGGAACGACTATACGTCTTGAAAATCTCTCTCTTGCACATCTGGAAACTCACATCTTTTTGCCATCATTATATTCAGGAATACAAGCGGTTTTGATTTGCATGCATAAAGCAGTTTCTTCATCTCTTATCTCGTGTGCCACGTGAATGAATTTCTGTGATCTATGGTTACAATTACCGAAATATGGATTAAGAGTGCCTACATTATGCAGATGCTTGCTGCGATCAAGAAGCTGCCGGAAATACAATACAGTGCTGGAGCACGCTTCGCTGTTTCAGACGACACTGATCTCTTCCTTGAGTCCTGCCTCCTGCCTGGAATCAGAGCTTTCATGGATACTTGAACCCAGACTTTTCTGGGCTTTGATCCGGAATGATACTGACAAGTCAACCTGCTCTTGGAATCTTTTCCTCAAAGCCAGTTGTTGAGATGCCACCTTCGAACTCCTGCAGGCCATCAGGCTGAATTACTCACTCTGCTCGGCTAAGGGGCTCTTCCTCTCGTCTCTAAGTGACACACCTGCTGGCTCTTGCGGAGTCCTCTGAGGTGGATGCTAAGTACATCCATTTCTTGCATATCGGCTGAAATTAAGGGCTAAAATCTCCTGGAAAGGCTTTCATCGTATACAATCGTGCCCATTCTGCCTGTTCATAGCATCCAAGTTTGTGCACAAAATAGATGGTGAAACATGGAGACAGCAGTTTGTGTGCAGCAAAGCAAGGGCTGTGGAGTGTTATGTGTATCACTCCCACCCTCCAAATGCAGGGCTGCTGGTGTCTATAAGGGCTGTCATCAGTAGGCAGCATCCCTGTACATCGGATGGGAGGCACCAGAAAACTCCAAGGATGACTTCATTCTTGAATTCATTCCACAACGCCAGCTAAAAGAGTTTGCAGAAATTCCCTATCCTCAGTTTTGTCATCTATAAAGCGGAAATAATAATATTACCTTGTATATGAATTTCCCGGGGCTGCCGTAAGAAAGTGCCACATATTGGGTGGCAGAGGACAACAGAAATGTATTATCTCACAGTTCTGAAGGCTGAAGTCCAAATGCAAGGTGTCAGCAGGACTGTGCTCCCTCCCAAAGCTGTAAGAGAAGGATCCTTCCTGTCCTCTTCCAGCTTCTGGCGGCCCCGACGTGCCTTGGCTCGTGGCTGCCTCCCTCCAGTCTTCACGTGGCCTACTCCCTATGGCTCTTCACGTGTGTCTGTGTGTCTGTCTCTGTGTCCAAATGTCCCCTTTTTGTAAGGACATGAGTCATATCAGATAGACCGGATTAGGGCCCACTCTGAGGACCTCATTTGAACTTGATCCCCTTTGTAAAGACCTTATTTCCAAACAAGGTCACGTTTGCAGATGCTGGGGGTTAGGACCCAGCATATCTTTTGGAGGGGTCACAATGTAGCCCATAACGTGGCATGCAGGGTTGTTATGAGAACTCCAGATGATGCACACGGGCAGAGTTAACTTAGCACATTAATGACCATCAGTGTCATCCTTGCTACCTCATCCCAGGCCCCAAGGACAGCCCCGCTGGGTGTAACACACAGTACAAACTAAGTTAATTGAAGGGATTTGGTTGGAACTCAAACTGTAACAAGTACAAACATTATGCAAATGAGTTGCAGCCATCGCAGTGGGTCCCCTCAGCTAGATATGCAAATTCAGCTCCAAGATAATCCTTGCAGCCTGTGCAGCTGCCCTCAACATGGCATGAGAAGAGTCACGTAGGCTGCTAAATTTGGCACAAAACTTGCCTTCTTCCAAAATCATGGGTAATTCTTCTCTCTGAAAAGACCAAGATTGTTCATTGTTTTTGAAGGAAATATGAAAGGGAAAAGAATGAATAAAGCACAGCTATTAAGAACTGCTATGGGGTGAATGTCACACAAGGTAGTCAATGCTTTGAGTAAAGATCAGCTTCGAGCACATTCATCTCAAAGACAAGGTGAAACACAACGAGAATAGTGGCCAAGATTGCAGGGTCTTTTTTGTTGTTTTTTTTTTTTTTTGAGGAAGATTAGCCCTGAGCTAACTACTGCCTGTCCTCCTCTTTTTGCTGAGGAAGCCTGGCCCTGAGCTAACATCCGTGTCCATCTTCCTCTACTTTACATGTGGATGTGGGACGCCCACCACAGCATGGCGTGCCAAGCGGTGCCATGTCCACATCCAAGAGCTGAACTGGTGAACCCCGGGCCGCTGAGAAGCAGAACATGCACACTTAACCGCTGTGCCACCTGGCCAGCCCCCCAAGATTGCAAGGTTTTTGACGAGGCTCCTGCAGTTGTAACTCAGCCTGGCTGTACTCATAACCCCTTTCGAAGAATTCATAATAAACAATAAGATGCGCATAGCTCTCATCAGCCTGTCCCCAGCCTTTGACCGAGGACCCAACCAGGCTGAAGTGTGCGCTCCCAAAGGATTCCAGTATTCACGCCCACATGCGATCTGCATTTAAACACCGCTGCGTGGATGAAGTGCCTTGGCAAACCAAACTGTAATTCCAAACGGCACAAAACAGGACTCTTAGGTTCCCCCCTCGCCCCTTATAACTGAAGTGGCTTTTAGCAGCACTGGCTGCCTGCCCTCTCGCCTGGGAAAGCTTAGAACAAGTCCTCTTATGCGGGCCCACATGGTTTTACTGTCGAGAGCTGGGAGTAATCTCAGTGGTAAAACCGGTCCGGCTGCTTAATTATTGCCAGAGATTATATGTGATATTAACTTGTCTCACAGTCAAATCCTCATCCCAGCAGATGTTCTCCAAAAACTGTCATGACATAAGGCCACTTAAGGATACATTTTGCAATAATTTCTTCCTGCTGATTTCACTGAGAAATCGCACGGAATCAAAACTAATTTTCTATGGGCAGTACTACTGACATTTTTTCCCTTGGCCACGATGAGGAGCCTACCGCAAAAAGTTCCCAGCTAAAATAGTTTCTCTAATGTTCTATATGGAATAGAACTTTGGGAAACCCACTTGGCTCTTAACGTGTTCCAAAGCCCTTTCGGCTTACTTCTAGTGGAGGGTTTTGGTCGAGATTCTCAGTCGCTCCGAACAGACACGCAACGTGATCATCAAACTAGCTCTCTGAGGTAATTGGGTCTGACCTCGATCAATGACACAAAAGATCTGAGCCTGGTGCACTTTTCAAAGCCAGTCATCCCTCTACAGAGGAACTCTTACCCAAGCTCCCATTGAGAAATGTCTGACGGACATGAAGTTCATGCAGTCCTGCACAGGTTCTAGAATTTTCCACATGAAGCACAGTCTATATTATCTCATTCCCTTCTCTCCCATGGAGCGGCATTTTGCCATCCAACTTTCCACATGCATGTAGTGATGACATAAAAGAGCCTTGACGGGCCAGCCCTGTGGTGTACTGGTTAAATCAGACATGCTCTGCTTCAGCAGCCCAGGTTCACAGGTTCGGATCCCTGGTACAGACCCACACCACTCGTCAGCCATGCTGTGGTGGTGACCCCCATATAAAGTGGAGGAAGATTGGTGCAGATGATAGCTCGTGGCTAATCTTCCTCAAGCAAAAAAGGAGGAAGATTGGCAACAGATGTTAGCTCAGGGCTAATCTTCCTCAGCAAAATAAAAAAAGAGAGTCTTGAGTTATTGAGGACATTGTATGTCACATCACTTAAGAAGCCCAATGTGAAGAAGTGGTTTTACACACACACACGCACACACAAGGAAAAATTTAACTTCCCTGAGGGACTCATTTGTTTTCTCTTCGTGAACATTGAAACCTGATAGCATTTCATGTTTCTGTTTCTGCTTTCACTACCAGAAAGATCAGAGGCAAATGTGCATCTCAGTTTTGGTATGGGTAACGCCGTCTGATCTCATGTCTTTTTCTAGTACCATGTCTTTTTCTATGTTTTCTACGCCCCACACTTCCGCCATCTTGAACTTCTGAACTTCTCTCCCAACCTTGGTGCCCTTGGTCCTAATGTATTATTATTTCTTTCTTTCATTCTTTCTTTCTTCCTGTCTTTCTTTCTTTCTTTATTTTTGAGGAAGATTAGCCCTGAGCTAACATTTGCTGCCAATCCTCCTCTTTTTGTTAACGAAGACTGGCCCTGAGCTAACATCTGGGCCCATCTTCCTCTACTTTATATGTGGGATGCCTGCCACAGCATGGCTTGACAAGTGATGTGTAGCTCCACACCTGGGATGTGAACTGGAGAAGCCTGGGCCACTGAAGCGGAACATGTGAACTTAACCACTGCACCACCAGGCTGGCCCCCTAATGTATTATTTTTATATTCATTTTTTTTCATGATTTGCACATCCATTTTATGAAAATCACTTAAAATTGTTTGGGAAAAGAGGTAGGTATATAAATCAATCAAATTGATGAATAATGAGTTCATAAAGTTAAAATATCTTTAAGCAAGATTGTAGCTACATTGATCAAACATACATTTCCACGTGTAAGCCTGGGAGTTAAGGCATTGATTCCCACAGGAAGTATTCTTCTGAATGTCAAAATTAGAACAAAATGAGGAAGACTGATACCCTTTAAACAAGAAACCGTGTCCCTTGGGGCTCTGCTCCCTCACGGAGTCCAGTGCCTCCTGCATCTCCTGCCCCTCTCTCTCGACTCTTCATCCATCATGCAGACATGCCCAACCTTGCAGCAGATTAAAAAATGAAAAGAAGCAACAATCTTCTACCCTTGGTTCTATTTCCCTCAGAGTGAACCTTCTAGAAGGGTGGTCAATATTCCATGAATGGGAATCCAAGACTTTCAAGGTAGCTCAGAGCTGGACCCAGCACTCCTGGATCTGCAGGAACAAAATAGTACCCAAATCTTGTATGGATCTTTGTCTGGCTGATGTACAGATAGGTATAATAGGAATGGTGGTTTCCAGCATTCAAAAATCTTAACCCATTGAGGACTATATTCTATTTATACTGCTTGACACTCGGAGGTGAGCCAATGAATTTTGTGTAACATCTCGCATAGCAGTAAGTGGTACAGACCTTAGAAGTAGTCTGAGCCAAGCTTGCCCACTCAGGGTCCTCTCCACCACGTGCCTGCAGCCAGTCCCAGCTTCTGCCAGCCCTGCCCAGCCACTGAGATGAGTGCCTTCACCGCACCGGCCCCTGCCTGGGCCCCATGCCAACCAGCTCCCCTGTGCCCATCAGCAAGATGGACTGACTGTGAAGAGGACGAAGAGCTTCAGCTTCAGGGCCCTCGGGGGGCCTAGTAATGAGCTCTCTTAGGCATTTGTTTTGTGTAGTTTGCCAAGTGACGTCTTTGCACCACTACCAGTTAAACCCACCATCTGTTTCTACTCCCGCTTCCTCTCCATTATCCTCCTGCAGGTGTTGGAGGGGCCAGGGGGTTTTGGGGATCCATTTAAGGGGAAGCTGATTTGGGAAATGACTAGTTGGGTTCATGGAATATTTTTCTGTGGTTTATGTCCACTTCTCTGTACAGTTATGTTACTGGTCGCCATCTTGGTTTAGGAATAGCTTCTGGGAATTCTCCTGCTGCCCCTCAGCTGTCCATCCAGCATGCTGACACCTGGCTTTGACAAACTGGTTACCTGTGTCACCAACACAGAGAGTATTAAGTGGCAGCCCCTGTACTAGAAACCTGGAAATGCCCCTCAATCGTACACAAAAGACTTTTGACTGCTGCTTTTCCAAATTTGACAGTAATCCTACAAATTTAACTGAGTTTCCAGTACTGGCCCCTTAACATTCCCATTACCAATAACGGGTTGTGAAGCGGAAAGAAACGCCTCTAGACCATCAAAAATACAACTCATTTTGACCAACTCTGCCAAAGGAAGGACGGCATTGGCTGTCTAATCTCTCTGTAGAAAGTGATAATCCAAAATTATTGTTGACTACAGACGTGATCAAAGAATATGCAGCCCAATGGAAGGAGAAAGCATTATAGACAGGGGTTAGGCAGTTAAACAAAAACGTTAACTGTGATTCCAAATTTCATAAAACAAGATTGGTTTTCTAGATTTTGTAACATATGTTACATGTCAACATTTCAAAATTTGTGATTTGTTTTGATTTCTTTTCAAATATAAATAAATACCCACCTAATTTTGTGCTTGAAATTATGTTTTCTCTTTCTTAAAAAGAACCCCAAATGTTGAACACTGACACACAAAGCCTGCACCCTCCCCTGCCATCAGGGAACACAGTCAGAATTACTCTGATTGCCCAAGCTCAGGGTCCTCCAGTATGGTGGGGGTCCCAGGTGCCCACTTTCCATCTGGGCTTCTCCACTTGTGCCCCCATGACCACTCAGCCTACACCCAGTTCCTTTGCTCGGATGGGGTGCTGCCCTGATGGTCACCTTTTGTAACAGGCCCTGACACCCTCTTATTACTCACCATGCCCTCTTCCCGAGGCCTGGATTGCCACTTATCGCCTTAGCCCGTGGTTGGGGTTCTTTCTAAAACCAGGCAGACTTCTCCCAGGATCAAGATGGTAGGTCCCAAGGGGAGGCTGCTGGGAGCAGAACTTGTGCAGTGAGACCCCAGCTGCTGAGTCTTTAGATGGGACCTCTTGGACATGAAACAAAATACACTGTCCCCCCATCTCTCCAATGAGGCATCCACCACTCTCTTCTTGGGCATTGTGATGTCAACTGCTTAGGGGTTAGGTGAGCTAAACTATCTTTTCCCAAATTACTTCCCTCCCACTGCCAGTCTTTATTTCCTCAGTGAAACGGGAAAATAAATAGCCCAGGCCTTACTGGATTATGGAGCACTAATAATATAATCCACATAAAGCCTTGGGCACAGTGCCTGGAACATGAGCAGTGCTCAGTAACTGTTAGCAGTAGTTGTGGTTGCTGATGTCACTATTTTTATTAATATTATTAATAATAATGCCCAGTGTGCCATCAATGTCTTCTAAATCATAGACAGAAATGTTTCGCAGTTGAGGATAAATGACGGAGCCCTGCGGAAAGCTAGGGGCTCCCCCTTAATTTGAAAGCAATCAGCCCCATTTTGGTATAGACATTAATTCCCTACCAATCCAGCGTGATCCTCCAGCTTACGTGTCCAAAGGATACCAGGAGGAACTTTTCCAAAAATGTTGTTTCGATCTAGATATATTATGTCTACAGAAGGCTTCAGTTCTGTGAGTCCAATTTCCCTGTAAAAACACAGAAATGAAACCAATCTTACATGATTGGCCATTACTGAACTCTCACTGGCTTCAGGTGATCACCTTCTCTCTCCAGAGGCTTATAAACCATCTACCTGAAAGTCATTTCTAAATTCTTGCTGTGGACGCAGCCCCTAGGTCTGTGGTTGAAGGAGATGCTTCATCTTCCTCTTTTTATAGAAAGTATTATGCCAGGGTTTTCACATGGACCACAAGCTTTACAGAAATAACTACCACATAGGTGTAGTTGGCTCAAACCGGGCCAGCAGTACCTCTCCATCCTAATTATCTGATAATTTTCCAGCTGTTCAAAATAGAATTCCATTTCCATCTATAATGCTACAAGAGAGGGGGGCATGAGTTTTTCACAGTAGTGATTTTTAAAACATCTTCTTGAATTTGGCTTTCTAAAAGACTGAGGCTTGTATCTGAATCTAGTTGCTCCCGATAACTTGAGAAGGTGCAATGCTTGGATCTAAATAAAAAAGACCCGCATCAAGTTCTTGGCTTTGTCCCTCCTGTCCAGGACACAATGAATTGGGACCACTTTGTTTCTTTGACTGACACCAAGGCCAACCCAGATCAAATCAGAACTGGATTCTGGTGAAGGGGAGGCCACGGCAATAAGGGCTAGTGGAAGAGGTGGGGGCCATGTGAGTTATTTGTGGCCTGAGAAAAAGAATAAACATATGAACAATATCTGCAGAGGATGTCCAATGTTTCTATTTGCCTCACTCCTATTTCCATCTGTTTAGGTTGTAGCACATTGGCATCTTTTTCTGGGACCGCCTCTCCTCTACCCTTAGACCAGGTAGTTCATGCAAGGCTGACTCATCTCTGGCTCTTGGGCAAAGGCTATGAAATTGGCCGGCCCAATGACATGTCACAACTGCTCAGCCAGAGTGATTAATTGGGATGTAGGGTACATGACCCAAACCAGCCACCAACTTGAGCCCCAGTCCTGGGACTTTTGCTGAAACTCCTGGGAGAGAATGTCTCTGCTGTTGCGAGCCTGGAGCCTCCATCTTTGGGAGGCTGAGAATAAAACCAACACAGACGAAAGTAGAACCAAGAGCCGGAGACCAACTTCTGACAACATTGCCTGGATATCTGGAACTAGTTTCCCCTAAAGCTAGACTTAGCTCCCAAAGGAACTTTTACTCATATAAGCCAATAAATTCATTTTTCCATAGGCCAACTTGAGTTATACTTCTGTCTGTTGCAACTGAAAGAATCTTATCTGATTGTCTGCAGAACCAGAGAGCTTCGAAAGGAATCAGGCAGGCCGAAGACCAAAGGTATTGTGGCAGTCATCGCACAACTCATCAAATGTCTCCAATTCTCAATTTTCCAGGCATGTATTAGGATAGCACTTCTCCATCCCTTTTGAAGTTCGCTGGGGCCACATGACTTGCTTGGGCAAATGAAACATAATCAGAGGGGAGCATATCACTTCCAGGGAGAAGCTTTAAGTTCAAATGTGTTATTTCAACACATTCCCTTTTTTATGTCTTGCCAATTGTGGAAACACGGAGAGGAGCCTCCCTCAGCCTGGGTCCATGAGATAGAGTTGAGCCCATGCCCCAAACCAAGCAATGATGGACACGTAGCATGAGTAGGGGAGAAACAAACAAAAACAAAGTTTTAAAATCCACTGGTATTTTGGGCTCGTTTGTTACTGCAGCATAGTTTATCTGATCCTGATTGATACAAACATCTAGTCTATGGGAACAAGAGTGACAGCCAGCAGGAATCAGGCAAAATGGGCTTCTTCAAGTGGTCAGCCAGCCAGCTACATCATCTAGGTCCTCCATGTGAGGGGAGAAGTAGGTAGGAGGATCTTGAAAATCGGAAGCATCCAGAGGACCATTAGACAAGGCACATGAATGTTGCTGGAACAAAGAGGTAAAAGAAATGCTTAAATACTAAAGGGAAGACTTGGATAGGTTAAACAGTAGATAACGCTTGTGAGTGACACCAGCGAAAGGAGATAAAAGAAATAGAACTTGAAAGAAAATATGCAAGTGATCACAGCCAGCAGACAGAACTCAATTGACTAATGAAACTATACTTGAAATGTACCTGCTTGGATGGTTCTGTGAGTCAGATTCTCAGCTCCCTGACTTATGCACGTTGTGCTGGAACTCGTGGTAACTCTGGAGAAGGTCCTCAAGAGACCGTGATCCAAAGGGTGTGGTCACTGGGATCCGACTCTACTCACCTTGTCCCTCTCAGTAGTGTGGGATCCTGATAGGAAAAGAGAGTTCCAAAGACTATCAAAACACAAAATAATCTGTTTTCTTTTGTTTGGGGCCTTCTTAAATAGCTTATTGTTTTAGTTGTCTATACGGCAAATTATCCCAACACTTGTTGTCTTAAAACAATAGACGTATTTATTATGTTACAGTTTCTGTGGATCAGGAATTTGGATCAGCTGGATGCTTGTGGCTCAGGGTCGCTCATGAGGTTTCAGTCAAGGTGTCTGCTGGGGCCACGGTCATCTAAAGGCTTGACTGGGCCTGAGGATTCACTTGCAAGATGGCTCACTCACATGACTGTTGGGAGGAGGCCTCAGTTCCTGACCACACGGGCCTCTCCATTGGGCTGCTTGAGCATCCTTACAACATGGCAGCTGGCTTCCTCAGAGCCAGTGACCCAAGAGAGATCAAGGAAGAGGTCACAATGCCTTTTAGGACCTAGTCTCGGAGTTTAGACCTGGTCTCCAAGAAGTTACAAACCATCGCTTCTGCCACCTTCTATTTGTTAGAAATAAGTTGCTAAGCCTACTGACAATCAAAGGAAAAGGCATTAAGCTCCACCTCTTGAAGAGAGGAGTATCAATTTTGGGGCAAATTTTAAAACCACCACAATCACACAAATTATTCTTTTCTAGTATGGACTCCAAACACGTCCACATGTTAATCCCTGAAACCTATGAATATGTGACCTTACTTGACAAAAGGGCCTTTGCAAGTGTGCTTAAGTTAAGGACCTGGAGATGACGATGTTATTTTGGATTTTTTGATGGTCTCAATATAATCACAAATGTTCTTATCAGAGGGAGGTAGGAGGGTCGGAGTCAGAGAAGGAGATGTAAGGACAGAAACAGTGGTTGAAGTGATGTGAGGAAGGGGCCATGAGCCAAGGAATGTAAGCTGCCTCTGGAAGCTGAAAAACGCAAGGAATAAGAGCCTCCAGGAGGAAGGCAGCTCTGCCAACATCTTGATTTTAGAACTCCTGACTTCCAGAACTGTAAGAGGATAAATGCGTGGTGTTTTAAGCCACTCTCTTTGTGGTGATTTGTTATGCAGCCATAGGAAACTCACACACACTTCGCTAGTATTTAGTGAACACCCACCACGTGATGAGAATGCAGAGCTGCAGGGTATACAGAAGCAAATGAGAGAAACAAGGGGCAGAACATAAACAGGCAAACAAATATATGAACAAAATAAATCAATTTTTGATCACTGCTATAAAGGCAGTAGTACCAGGTGATATGATGCAGCCACTGTGGGGTTGTTGGGAGTGGCTATTTGAGACCAGATGATCAGGGAAGGCCAAGTGGAGGAGGTGAGCTGGGCCATCCATGAGAAGAAGGAGCCAGCCTCACAAACAGGAAACAGGAGAGGAGCAGAAAAACATCCAGAAAGAGGAAACAGCACGTGCAACATCCCAGAGGCAAGAAGAATTTTGGAGTATTCCAAGGAGGGAAAAACCAAGTGAACAAGGGAGAGAGATGGGCAGGGGTCTGGTCCAGCAGGACCAAGAGAAACGGGGCACCAGAGCCAGGCTCTGTTCAGGATTTACAGAGACAATGCCCCCTGGCTACTCTTGGGTGATGACTGCACAGGCGCACAGTGGACACCAGGAGGGGAGTTAGCACAGGCTAGAGGCGGGGTGGTTGGACTCGGGTGGGAGTGGTGGAGAAAAGAATGGCTGAATCAGAGTGTGTTTTACAGATGGAGGTGACAAGATTTATCTGTTGGATATGGCGTGGGAGGTGAGCCAAAGAGAAGAACCAAGGGAATACTCTGAGCACAGAAGGTGCATCTGTAAATTTTGCTTCACTGGATAGATGATGAGAGCTCCTCATCCCGAACACTATGGTGCAGAGAAAGAGGACACTGGGTTCCCCAAAGGCTGGTGCTCCCCCCTGTTGGCTATGTGACCTTAGATGTGCAACTACATGGTCCCTACAGCCTACCCAGTGTGGAGATTCTTTGACTTATTAATGGCTTTTATCCAGAGGGCTTCTTGACCTCAGGAATCTACTGCATGTAACTGTCAGCAGAGAAAGCAAGGAGCAGGCAGCCCCCCGACATGCTAACACTGGTGGATCCCATTATCCACAGAGGCACAAAATGATCCAGGCAGCACCTCAGAAAGAGAACACGCCGAGACAGCTGGGAGACGGGAAGTAGCTCCTTAAGTTGGTTTCCAAATTGCTCCAGGATGCTTTGGTGTTAGCTCTAGAGGTGACCTGTCACCAGGGTTCATGTTTGTCCTTCCAGCTGGAGTCTCCGTGCTTCCGAGGAGCGATTCTGGCTCCTTCTTTCTTTACGTTCATCCAGGACCTGTGACTCAAGTTTATTGAACTCAACTGATAAACACTGATGGAATTAAAACGTCAGCTTCCGCATCCATAGTTCATCCGTTCTCCTCACTGAGGATGTCTGACAAGGGGCTGCTGACTCAGAGAATGGTGCTCAGCCTCCTTTCAGACGTATTAACTCCATCTCATGAAGAACCAAATTCTGCAATGCCCAGGCTGAGAGCTGGACTGTGAGCGCCCACAAGCGAGAGCTAATCTCCCACACGCTCTGCAGGATGTGCAAGGTGATTTTGGCCCCCGGCCTCTGTAATTCCCATGTATAAGGTCTATTTCTTCAGAGGCAGGAGTGCCAATAATTTTTGCCAAGTGCTCACATCTGTTTTGACACTTGACTTAATTACCACATGGTCCTATAAAAAAAAAATCACCATTTTTTTGGTGCTTTGTTTGTAATAAGAGTTCCAGGGTCTGTTTGTTGAGTGAATGTGTGAATGGATGGGTGAGGGTGATTTCTGGGAAAACTGGATCCCATTGGCCAGACTTCTCGGTGAAAATTATGGCTCTGACAGCATGGATGTCAGAATGACAGGGTCAAAAGATTTGCCAATGATACCTGAGGTCTAATATTCATGGATATCAGCTATGTGGCTTAAGGCATGGGTCACAGCAAAACTTCCCAATATTTCCTTAGATTACACCACTTTAAAAATCAATTGCAGCAGTTACAAAGGCCGTGTGCATAGTATTGCCTTTTCTTTGAGGAGTTGCTCTTACCGGCAATAATTTCAATGCCTGACCAGTGGCTTTGGAGAACTGCATGCATTCATTCCTTATCAAATAAAGCGTGTTTCTACCCAGAATCCCAAAGCCATGTGATTCCAGGAAACAATTGCTTTGGAGCTTCCAGAAAATGATGACATAAATAATGGAACAGATGGGAAATGAGAGAAATGCTACTGCCCCGTGAACAGTTACCTCTATGTGGTATTTCTACAGCAGCCCATGCACTTCACGTCTGTCTGAACACAAGAACTAATAAAGGCTACATTCCTTAGTGAATGCAAGAATGGCTCAGCTTTCTTGCAGCTCAATTTCTTGCAGTACATACCCAAACCGATCAAATGGAAAAAGTGAAAGTAGGGAATCTGGTTGAACAACTAAAGGGTTGCATCATTTCTTCCTTGCAGAACAATTAGCCCAGCAGCACTCAATTTCGTCTCCTATTGTGCTAGATAGACAAAATCGGTACTTGCGCTCTCCAGAGAATAACTCCTTGGTGTATTGGTTCAAAGAGCATTATTTCAAAGGATGGAGGCAGAGAAAACCTTGACCAAAGAGATTGCTGACCAACTGTGGTTCTGGCTAATTGGATTTGCTGGTTAACTTAAGAACTTTGGTCTCCCCTCCCAAACCAACCCGTCACATCCTCCTCACTCTGGAATTTGCCAAAACACAGCTGCGGTCATCTCACTTTCTTGCCCACAACATTTAGGTTTTTGTTTGCGAATTTGTTTGAACATTAGCTGAAAAAATATTTTCGTATCTTACAAAGGAAAGCAAATTAAGCAGAGCTTGATGCTGTGGGATTGGGACCCTGCCATGGAATCTCAGCTGACTTTTGCATTTTGGTTCACACTTTTTACTCCTTCTCACATTGCCTCAGCTCATGCTGACACCAACCCTCGGGGGGAGGAGAGGGTTTTGCTTCCTCCATTTTTCAGATGAGCAGGGTACCAACAACCAGACTAAGGAGTTTGGGCCTTTCTTGGGGAGGGATGAAAAAAACCTGGACATTTTAGTCAAGTCAGTGATAAAACCAGAGCTACCTACCAGGATCTTAATAAGCTGGTGGTGATGATTATGATGGTGGAAGAGTCAGGGAAGGGAGAGAAGTCCAAGGCAGAGAAACAAGTAGATCATCCTAGGAAAGAGGCCATAAATTGGGTTAAGGCTATGGGAAGGTGACGGAAGGGGGGCCAGATGCAAGGAATTTTCTAGAAAGGGCATTGACTTTCCAGAAGTGGCAGCCTCTAGGATGGTGGATGGAGACTCTGTAGAACCATCACAACTAGTGAAGCCCCCAGAGGCCGATTGTGTCACCTACAGAAACAGGGGTCAGTGGAGGGGAAGGATGTAGGATGGGGGAGGACGCAAAGTCCATCCTGATATGCAGAGTTGAGGTGTCCACAGGCCAGCCCGGTTCTGTGGCTATTTATACCACCTCAAATTTGGGCTTCAGCTTAAGATATGGCTGAAATGGAGATTCAGATTTGAACAGCGACATGCGGTTGTAGGAAGAGAAAGAGGGCAAAGGAAGGGAGGACAGAGAAAATGGAAGACAGCAGCAAAGACAGAACCAAGAGCTCTGGGTGGTTCTGTGAGTGTCCTATCGCTTATGGTGCGAATAGGAAAATAGTTCAGTCTCAGAATGCTTACTAAAAGGCGTTTTGGAATTAGAGCCAGTCTTGGATTCAGTTTCTGTTTTGATAGAATCATCACGTGTATAGTGTAGAACATACAACTTTCAAAAATTTAACGATAATTAAGGCCAGGGATTTACATCAAAATGTAATGTACATCAAATGTAATTTACGTAAAAATGATGGTTGTATTTACATCAAGAGAACAAAAGAAGATTAGGAGAATTAGAAGATCATTTATGCCTGAATGTGTGTGTGTGTGTGTGGGCACA